CACGGTCGCCAGAATAATAAAAATAAAAACACATACTAAAATAAAAATAAAAATAAAAACAAAAACAAAAACAAAAATAAAAATAATAATAAAAATATAATAAAAATAAAATAAAAATAAAATAAAAATTAAATTAAAAGTTAAAATAGAAACTAAAATAAAACTTAAAATAAAAATAAAACCAAAAACAAAAATGAACATAAAAATAAAAATTAAAAAAATAAAATAAAACAAAAGTAAAATAAAATAAATAACAAAAAAATAAAATAAATTAAAATATAAATAAAATACAAATGAAATAAAATTAAAACAAAATAAAATAAGATAATCTAAAATAAAAATTTAAAAAATAAATAAAGCAAAATAAAAAAAGAAGACATGAAATTATAATAGAATAAATTTGAATATTATGCAATAAAATAGAACCAAATAGTATAAATTAAAATGAAATATTAAAAGATGAAATGAAATCAAATTAAACTTAATTAACAGAACCAAAATACATAAAATTGAAAGTTCTAAAATAAATAAAGTAAATTAAAGTTAAAACGTGATATAAAATGTTAATAAAATAAAATAAGATAAAAAAATGGAAATTAAACGGAATAAAATTAAAATGTTCTAAAATAAAATAAAACAATAAAAGGCAAATAAATACATACAAAATAAAGATAAAATAATAACGTAAGCACTATCCCGACTGATCTCATCCCGATGACCGTAATGCGCCTAATGCTGCAACTACCCATTTACTTACCATCCGTCTATAGCAGCCGACTGTAAGAGCGAGATACATACACGAGTTATCGACGCTACTGAGAGCGGCGAAATGTTGCCAGTTGCCAGTGTGTTTGCACACTTTTGAACAAATTTGTAATTTCCGTCAACAAGTTTCATAAATTATATGTTCGAATATAAAAGCCAATCAAATATACAAGATCTATATGGTAACAAATAAATAATTAGTTACGCATTTATTTTTCATTTCTTTTGAACAAAACTACGCATTATCTTCTATTATTTAATGTTACTTTAAAAAAGACTGTACTGGCAACCTTGTTTCCCAACGAGAAATGAACCGAGCCGGTTTTTCGGAAAGAAACAAATCGTCGTTGGTTTCTGCGGGACAACCGTCAATAACGGCATGGGCTACCGGCGACAATTTGTGTTTACATGGCGCTCTCATAAGATGCTACGGTTGCTACGGACGGAAGGTATGTAAGATAAGTAGTTGCAGCATGAGGCTGCGCAACCGTCAATCGTAACTGCTTGGAGAGCAGGGATGGGAAGACGCGAAAAAGTTGAGATCGTAATTAAGATCTGTAAGAAGATAAATCCGATTGCACAAAACACGACCTTAAGCCGTGTAACTCGATGATCACCTGAGAATTGCACTCTTCTATCTATAAACTCAAATGGCAGGAAGTAATTAGCCAGTGCCTGAAGTTATGCAAGGACTCACGCTCCTCGCTTAAACGCTCTCATTGTGATGGTAATAAATTCACTTTTCTTGGTTTACCGACCAGTCTGTTAAAGAAATTGTTATCATATAGATTACATCGTTCTTGAATTCTCTACATCGTTAGAAAACTTTGACGTGTCAGTCTCTTGTTATAAACCCGAAATTAGCGATTTTAAGGATCTTTGGGGAAAAGGTAGTATTTATTGGTAGTCCATTTATTAATATTAGGCAAAGCTGATTCACAATAGTTTAAATAACTATAGAATATTATACATACATTTGTTTCATAAAATCGTCATCCAAACAAAAAAGTTGAGAAAATGTGAAAAATGATACTAAAAATTAATCATAAAAGAAAAATGTTTTGAATTTTAAAATTTTATTCTTTTATTTTCAAGTATGAAAATTTTATTTTCTGCCGCAATCTAATATTCTGTGCTAAAACTCAAAATTAAAATAAGTGGTTCATTAAAATTTAATAAGTTTACCTTTACTTTGCTCATACAAGCCACATACACCACCCCTTTATCTTTTTGCTATTCCTTGGGGTATTTTCGTCATACATTCATACATATACTCGTTAATATATTTACTTCTACCTTTACATATGCTCATATGTATATACGCATCTTTATAGATGTTAATTATATAACGGTATGAAGAATGGCACAATGTTTTACTTTCAAAAAATTCATTAAAATAAGTATATATGCACATACTTGGATTCATAAGTGACCTCTGCATTTTCCTCATCGCGCTCGGCCTGGCTCCTTTAATTTTTCGGCACCTTTGCGCAACTGCTTCTGGTTGCCTCAATTTGCAAGGAAAGGAGGCCAGTTTATGGCACTTGCTCCTCTTCGCCATCCGAAGGGATGAAGGCGACGGCGACGGCGACGGCGACGGCCACGACGACGAGCAAGCGATTTCGCAATTAATTAAGTTAAAATTTTTTACTTTTTTCGCATGTTTGTTTTGCTCTCTCATTTATTTCTTTTGTTTTCGTTTTGCATTGTATGCATAGTTATAAAGAAAATTCAGAATTCTACACTTTTCTCTACCTTTCTTTTCTTTCGTTTATTTATATCGTTGTGTTTTGTAAATAAAATTGCCTGTAATTATTGCTCTTGCATTGTTCGTTGAAGCATGTGTCATTGAAGATATTAATTACGTAAATTTACGACTGAAACTCGTTCGTTGGTAGACTCTGCCGGAAATCGTGTACACCACTTCTTTGCTTCTCTGCGCGCTGCGTCTGTTTGTATCCTTAATACAAGTCGAAAATGCACACATATGATTTAAAAGCATTCTAAGAAGCCGACACTGGCTTGCTAATTCATGAGAATTGAAAATCAATACATATGTATATACATATAAATATGTTTGATTGTCGAATCAGCTGGAAACAAACTTGTGCCAAAAGTCCAGCAATTTAGTTTAATTTGTGTATTGGCTTTAACGCATTCGTGATTTTTATTGGGTGTATGCATTAATTCGTGCCGTTTTTTCTTTTTTTCCAAAATTAAGACTTTATTGTGAAAAAATAATTTTAATCGTCTGGAAACGGTTGCTTGATCAACTTCTAATACTTTTGCAAGTTCTTGCGTCGAGCAATGTCTCCAATTCTTCGTCTTGAATTTTTTTTGGCTGGCCGTCGTTTAAGTCGGAATTGCCACTTTTGGCACGTTCGTTCGGCTAAAGCACGGTCGCCAGTAATGAAGAAGAACTCCAAGCAAAAACACTTCATGTGGTACAAATTTCGACACTTTTTAATGAATGAAACAAATTGTTGTTCGGGCTAAAACAAAAGACATCTACCTTTGAAATGAATATATAGAAAAATCCACTGAAGCTGCCAGAGTCGATGTAAGCGCAATTTGCATTATACTTTTACATTTGCTGACACACAATTTTTTTGTAGGTAGATCCATAGACCAATATGGATAAAGTTAGGAATGAACGACATTGAGAAATGAACCGTTTTACACCAAATCGCGTATAGCAAACATTACTGGTTGTGAACCATATTGTTCATGACATACATTTTTATTACATTTCCATTTTCAAAGTCTCACATTAAGTATTTTCTAATTAATAATTAATTTAACTTTCTCTTTCAGATAAATTGGCAACATGTTTCGTTTGCAAGGCAGACGCCTGTCCTCGTACTCGCCCATTGAAGAAGGGCCGGGGCCAGCAGTACGGCATTCCAGACGATACAATACCGGCAGGTGCACGAGTCTGCAATTCGTGTCAATGCAAGTCGGTACGTAATCGTTATACCAATTGCCCCATTCCAACGTGCCCGAATCCAAAAGATCGTGCTAAACGCTTACATAACATTCCGCCACGTTTATTCGAGCTTGCGCCCGATATACGAGATCCCATCCTACACGAGTTTCAAATACCAACACAAGCAACACGTTGTTGTTCCGCCTGTCTTATGCGTATACGTCGAAAACTGGATCTTGATCCGCAAATAACGCTTACGGATGAAGATCGTCGTATGGACGGTGATGAATCGGACGTAAGCACTTCGTCGTGTGATGAACGTGAGGTTGGTGGCAGTGATACTGCTTCAGTGGAGAGTCCAGAGTCGCAACGGCACAATTCAATGACAAAGGATGTGCAAAAACCACAGACACCGATTGCAGCTAGCGCAGCCACAAATGCAGCTGCTGATACAACAACAGTTACGATAACAGCTGCCGGTATTAAAGCCGATGAACGTTTGCTGCCACCATTGGGACAAGCGCCGAAGAAGCAAAAGACATCTGAAGAGTATGATTCGTCGGCCACTGAGACCGCCGACGAGGAGAATGAGAATTCGCCGGCGAATCGCCAAAGTCCCAAAGTTATATTAAACAGCAGTGGTATGGGAATGCAAGGTAATGTTGGTTTGGCTCCACCACCGACGAATGCCCAGCAAGTGCATTCAATTCAACAGAATGGTCCGCCACAACCGGTTATAGGCATGCAGCCACGCGAACAAACTGGCGCAAATGTACAAGACGTTTTATATTCAGTAATTGAGTTATCGCTGAAAACGAAGGGCCCGCCGCCGGTTAAAATGCCTTCGCAAATGCCGAATGCGTCACCTATGCATGGCGTCAAACCGATTATGGAGCCGATTCGTAGTCGCGCTGATCTCAGTAATAATAATAACAATTCTAATAACGATGTTACTATAGTTGGCGAATTCCGAAATGATGGTTCCATTGTAAAGCAACAGGCTCATGGACAGCCGATCGGTTTGAATGCGCGTCAGTCGAATGCACCTTCCGTAAATGTTGGACAAGTCCCGCAAGGCAGCCAAGCTCCTCCTGGAGCCATTGTACATCCTGAAAACTTGGCTACAATATCTGTGGTGAATTCTCATATGTCTCACCACAATCTTCCAACACATGGAATGTTGCATCAGCATGAAATTAAGGCGACGATAACGCCTGTGGTAAAATCAGGCAAGTCACTATCATCTACGCCCCAACAGCCGCCAGATGCAATTCGATATGGTATGCCCCCAACTGTTGGGTCACAACATCGAAACAACGAACCAGAACCACAAACATTGGACCTCTCAATAAAGAAGCCTGCTAGAGATGGCCCATCACCTCATTCCTCGTCCAGCGGTGTTAACTCGTCGAGCAATGACAATGGTCCACGGCACCAACCACCACCAGGAGCTGTGAAACACGTCGGCAATGCTGCTTCAATATATCGTGGCCCCGAATTGGGTCCCTCTAACCCAACGTATTTGTATCATCCACACCACTCCAATGTAGGTAAGGGACCTCACGGATCTGTCTATTTGCCACAAGTACCTGGACCCATACCCATAGCACAAGGTGTTGTGAGCGTACGATCTCAAGCGGGCGGCGTACAACCGTCACCGCAACAACCACCACCTTCAACACATCAGGCCCACATGCAGCTGCCACCTGGAGTGGGGGTGGGCAGTAGCAGCAAGGTCGGTAGCACTAAAATGGCGCCTAAATTGAGTCCACAATTGATACATGGTCCACCATCACACACGGCTTCGGCATCACCATCACAACAACAGCAACAACAACAATTGATGGCCGGTCCGAAAGGATCTATAACACACGGCACACCAGTCAACAATGCCCAACAAATTATTGTGCACTCTGCACCCGCTACACTTAGTCCCAAGTTTGATAGCATTCTTAGACAAACTCCACCTTCCGGTAGCGATGCGAATAATAAAATTGGCTCTATAACACAGGGCACACCAATTCATTTGCCCTCACATCATTTGGAAAACAAACGTTCATACGAGTACTACAAGACATCGCAGCGTCAAAGTCCAGCACAACAAAATCAAATTCCAGTGGTCGGACATCCCGGTGTGTTGCCACCACCGCAACAATCATCGCCACAAGCGCCACCGTCACAAGGATATGGCGCTAGTTCACCATATGCGCGTCCGCCATATGCCGTTGACCAAGCACCGGTGCTGAGCACGCGCCAAATCGTGTTACACGATTATATAACGTCACAGCAGATGCAAGGCCAACAACGAAACGTATCGCGGGGTAGCAGTAACAGCGCCGGTGGAGGAGGTGGTGGTTCAGACAAAGAGTCGCCATCGCCACGCAACAGTGTGAGTGGCCCTACCAGCGCGCTGGTCTTCTATGACAAAGAACGTGGAAGAACCGAATACTCGAGTCGGGCCTCACCCGCTGAACATATTAACAGGTACGGATGGAATTCAAATAAAATTGATTTACACAAATATATATGTAATCTCTTACATTTATATATACAAATTTAATTTTTTACTTTCTAAACACAGCACTCCCAGTCCACACCGTACACCACCGCCACCACGTCAAGGTGTTATACAACGTCATAACACTGGCTCAAAGCCGCCTTCGCCTGCTACAATGTCCCAAAACCGTCTACACGTGATGCCGCATAGCTATCCGCCAGGTCAGTTTCAGTGTAGAACGTTTCTCAATCCAAGCACAAATTTATTAAGTATTATTTCTCCCAACTCCTCTTTAGCTGGGCACGATGCCTTCTCTTCCTTCGTCGATGTGGCCGTACAACAACCACAACTGCCAGTGCCATCACAGCAGAAGGAGGATAAACAATTGCGGCATGAAGCGCAACAACCAGCTCCACCACATCAACAACATGCGCCGCCTAGCCAACCGCCACCAACACAACAAGAAATACGTTATCAAATGCAGATGCAGTTGAACTACCATCAACAACAACGTGCAGCCGCTGCAGCAGCCGCAGCGCAACAGCACCAATACCGCGCACAAGCGGCAGCCAGTGCTGCAGCTAATGTTGACCTTCAGCGGCGCATGCATGCTATGGAGCGTGATCATCTGCAACAGAAACGACAGGAACGCGATCGTGAACGGGAACGGGAAAAGGAACGTGAACGGGAAAGAGAGCGTGACCGTGATCGGGAGCGAGAGCGTGATCGTGAACGCATGGCGGAATGTATTGCGGCAAATGAGCGTGATGCTGCTGGACGACGCATGACGGAACGCATGAGTGCTGTTGCAGCAGCTCAACACTATATGCGCGGCGGACCGGAGACGGGGCCGCCACGTGCTATACCCGACCGAGAAAGAGATCTGTAAGTGAATGCTCAAAGCAGCGCATGGAATGCCGTGAGGCGTAGAACCTCACATTTAAAACAGTTACATTATTAATAATCGCCCATATACACACTACTAACACAAGGATGTAGAATAATATTATATTATTATTTGTGTTGGCGTCTTTTTATAATACAGTTTTTCGAACAAACTTATTATTCTCGCACTTATTTAGTTGCCTTCATTATGAAATATAGTTTAAATACATAGAAAATGTTTGCAATGGTTCCCACACTGCTTAGAAAATAAAAGGCAAGTCAAAGAAGTTTTAGAAGTCACTTAAAAACAGGTTTTTGTTTTACTTCTGCAATATAGCGTTTCAGTAGATTTCTCTAACTCAAAGCATATATATCTCAAAATATTAGCTCCATTTAACAATAGCGTTGTTCACACACAAGTAAAAATATTTTTAAAAGGTGATGAATTAAAATTAATAAAATATTTCCATTTATACGTATACATACATAGTAAATTTACCGTGATGTATCGTCCTTTCATGTTGTTCACGTATGTATCTCTTTCTTTTTCTCTCTACCCATTCATCAATCACCATCGCTAATTCACCGCCGATGAATTTCCATCTATATGTTTGTGCTCGTGTTTGTATACTTAACTAACTCGCAGCTATCATAGGACACCTCAGGACAGTACATTGTCAGCGCAGGTTTTAATAGATGCGATCATAAAGCAGTCGATAAGATCGGGCAGCTCAGAACCAAATCCAGCCAACATGAATCGGCCATCATATGTGAGTATTATCTCTGTCCCTAAGCCATTTTCTTAAACAATTCAAATCAAATGAATTTTTTCTTGCAGTATAATTCACGAGAAATGCCACCCTCAGCCCGTCAGCATCCAGGTGCCGCTTCACTGGTCGCCGCTGAGAATAACGGCAAGGCAAATTCACCCAATGTCATCAATATCGACTTGGACAACGATCGCGCCAGCAGTAGCAACAACCAACATGATTCGTCTAGTGTGAGTGGAGCGAATTCCCGTGGCAGTGGAGTATCGCACGTCAATCGTGGTGTCCCACAGAGTGGCCCTTCTGTTGGTATGTCTACCCAACCAGGCGTTTCACTACTACCGCCCACTTCACAAGCACAGGCTCAAGCACAAAAGCAGCAAATGTTAAAGACAAACATTACATTCGGCGAACTAACGGACTCTATAATTGCAAACGACTACTGTCCAAATCCATTGCAAATGCGTTCGCATGTCAACTACATGCCTTACCTGCAAGATCAGCAACCAATGGTTATGACCGAACATTGGACAAAATATAATAGACGCATACAGCAGAAGGAGGCGGAAGCAGCTGCCGAACGTAATAAGGCTGCAATCGCTCAAAACATCAGCGCCGGTGTAACGGTTAGTTCAAGCGGCGCTTCCGGGCCACAAGGTAATGGAGGTGCAACTGCAGGTCCTGGTGGACGTGCCAATACACCAGCTGATGAACGAAACATTATACGCATGCAACAAACTGTAAGTCCGCGCAAATATGATTTGATGATGCAGCCGCCACACGATCAGGCTGCTGCGGCTGCTGCTGGTCATTACTATCATCCACATGGTCCGCCACCACCGTCCAGTGTTGCGCCGCCAATGAGCATGCATGTGCGTAGCAGCAGCTCCGGTAGCGGCGGTTCCTCCTCCATACCTTCACCGCACGATCAACGTATGGCTAGCGGAGGTAGTGCTGGCACTGTTGGCGTGCTGCCCACAAGTGGCTCAGTAACGCAAAATCATCCTTTCGACACAATGAAATATGTAAAGAATCGTATTGTGGAAGTTATGCGCACGGAGGATGAGGAAATGCAGCATCAGCATGGGCATATTGATCATCGCAGTGGCGCCGGCAAAGACATGCACGACGGTCCCATTGGCGTTAGCATTCGTAAGACCCCCAATCAATACGATGATGGTCGACGATTATCGGCTGTGTCATCAAGTGGTGGTAGTGGCGTTGGCGGAGTCAACAGCGGAAGTAATAGCAACGATACACATCACAACATAGTGTCTTCGCAGCCACCACCACCAGCTCTGGGTGCCTATCAGCCTCAACCGCCAGTCACAACTTTTGCCACAACCACCTATGCTTATCCGTATAGTGCCCTAAATGTGCCCAGTTCTGTGGCAGGTCTACCACCGCCAACACAAATGTCGTCATCGCAGTTATCTTCGTTGGCACATCAAGCGCCTACTTCACATATGAGCAAACAGTCATCCGGCCATAGTATGGGTAGTGCGGGCAGCGGCAGCATGGGAATTAGCGTCTCAGGTGCAGGCTCCTCCACGGGACCATCAAATAGTGCAACGGCGGTCGAGCCAAAGCCGCTGTTGTCGGCGCAATACGAGGCATTGAGTGACGAAGATTAGTTGTGACTGCAGGCGTCTGGACGAACGCCACAACAACAGCAGCAACATCAGCAAATACAGCAACAGCAACAACAGCAGCAGCAGCATGCAATACCACAAATTTGGCATTGCGAGCGTGAACGCATGCGACAACAACAACAGCAACAGCAACAACATATGCAACAGCAAAAGTTGCAGCATCAACAACAGCAACATCAACATTACCAGCTGCAAGCCAATCGCAGCTACAGTAACAGCAATGGCAATAACAACAATCACTATTACTAAAAAAGCAACCATTCGTAATTGTTGATTAATTGTGCAAATAACATAACCATGCAAATAAGGATAGTCGCGTCCTCGAAAAATCTCGCTCCATTCCTTCTCGCCAAAAAAAATGTTATATTTCCGGAGCGCCGGTGGAGTTGTTATGTTTAGCAGTTGTCGTGGTAAATTCAAGAATTAATAGTCCAGTAATCGCCTGCAGAGAAAACACCAATGATATACATGTATACAGAAATGATTTATAGACCTTCTATACAAGTATATGACGGTTTATTTTCCAATAGTTCGTATGAAAAAAGTTCATATTTTGAAAGGATTAAAATATGACGCTGTAAGTAAGTGAAGTGAAGTGTCTTTACTTTTCCGTCATATATATATTAGATTTGTACAAGCTCAACCTTTAAGGGCGAAAAAAATGTTAAACATATTTAGTACTACATACATACATGTATACATTTAATATAAACTATACCACAGGAAACAAATACATAAACATATTAAAATTTTCATTAAAAAAAACATAAAATTTTACCAATTCGTTAAAAATTGAATATGAAAATACATGTTCATGCCGCTATGCATAGGTTTCATTTCTCAAAAATGGCTGTTTGAAGGTTACGAAATTTTTGAAATCCTGAAGTTAATATTTTAAGTTAGTTATCAAAAGAAACTTGTTCCAAATGATTTCCTTTAAACATTTTTTTTGTTTATTAGCAATGCTAAAATGATATTCGAAAAATTTAAATTTTCTTTTAAATTATTTTTGTAGTGCTAATAATTTCTAATTTATCAACAAAGTGTAGTTTCTTGTAAATAACAATTATCTTATTTTTACTCAAGAAATAATCATTTTCTACTTCATCCTTATTTACTTTTGATATTAAAATAATTACAAGTAAAAAATTTAATATATAGAAATTTTTTCGCCTGTGTGAAAGAAATTTTTCCTTCCTAATATTGTCTAAGTAAAAATTTAAAGTGTTTTATAATTTATTTGTACTCATTTCAATTCGTTTTTGACTTTAAACTCATTTTTTAGTCATGATAACAAAAGTATCCTTTATGTTTTGAGTACTTTAACCTTTAAAAAAATTCAATAGTCGATTTATCTATTAAATTCCTTAGCCAGGCGCCTATGCTACACCAGCCATAGCAAAATCAACACTAAACACTGTTTGTAAAATCTCAAAAAATAGCTAAAGATACAGCCAACCAAAATGCAATAAAACAATCACTTAAAAAGCTGCAAATAATCGACACAACTGGACGAGTATAGATGATAAAAGAGAATAATACAAATAAACTTTGATGTTAACATGTTTTTTTTTCGTAAAATTTGTGCGCTTCAAACTTTTTTATTGGGTGAAAAGTTAATGTAGATTATCAAATATAATTGTGAAAAGATGTTAAATTAAAAACTAGAATTTTTAAGCATGTTAAATAAAAACTAATTTGTATTATTTTTTAGCATGATATTCCATAAAGAATCGCAACCATTTTATGAAATGAGAAACACTATATATATAATAAACGCTAAAGACTTATTGCAACAAAATAAACAAATAGAGACATTATAAATATATATATATATATATATATATATATATATAGAATATGTAATAAAAATTAAGAAAAAAATATCGCAAAAACAAACTGCTGATTTAATAAACAAAAGGAGAGAATTACTGTTATAAGCAAACTTGTATAAACATAGAATATATATATATGGATTGGAGTTTGATGTAAAAAATACGCTGCTGTTGGGTGCAGGAAAAAATATATATACACATACCAACAATTATATGTATATATAAATAATGTATGTAAAAACCATTTAAGCTTTTCTATTCTATAATAAATTAAATATAAAAATAAGTATACAAATATATAATTTTAATTTTAATTATGTAAAGATACATTTGAAAGTATATACATATATACATATATATTATATAATATATTAATAATACATAATAACAATGAGAGACGACGAAACGCTTCAGTTTTTGCTATTCATACATACAAAAAAAGTGAAAAACAAAAACTAAAATATAAAAAATGAAAAATCCAAAACTCAAAACTCAATAAAAAATTATATTACAAATTTAAATGAACTACTTAGTGAAAAATGAAAAAGAATACGTTGCATAAAAATTTTGTGAACTGCAAAAGCAAAAGTCAAGACTAAATATAATAGAAAGCACACAAGAAGCCTAAAAATTCTTATGCAAAAAAAAAAAAAAAATATATATATACACGTGTGTGCTTAAAGTCGGACCCTGTGAGATATGAAACGCAGAAGGAGAGCGGCTTGCTATAAAGTTTACAAATACTGATACATTTTGCTTGAAAAACTTGTAGAGATCAGTAATAATAAAATTACAATAAAGGGGAGGAAGAGAGTTTGCTGCAAATAATAATTAGTTTGTATTAACTGAAAAAAGTGAAAAACGCCAGTTAAGTCTACTAACAAAGCAAAAATTAAGCTAGTAAGGAAAATAGTTGGAAGAGTAAATAATATATGAGAGAAAAAATTGTAATTAAATTATATTTTTAGTTTGTAATTATGCCTTAAGTTATAAGCTTATTGAAACAACTCACTGAGTATGTAACGCAAGTAAATAGCAGCGTATGAACGAATATACATATATAAAAAAAAACTACAAAAAAAATGTGAATAAAATAAATATAAATTTAAATTTAAAATTGGTATATAAAAACATATATTAATTAATTGAAAAACGGTATATAGTTATTATAAATATATTAAAATAAAAGGATATAAATATTATAAATGAATACATAAACAAAATGCATAAACTGTGTAATAAATAGCAAACATATAAGAAAAGAGTAAAATGAAATGTAAAAGAAATTTTCAACATAAACATGCATATAATGAAGTAATTAATAAAACATATATAGAATATACATAAATAATATGAAAATATTTACATGAAACAATTAATACAAAATTCACACCCTTCTCACGCTATAACGGAAAATACACTAATTTCGTAAATTACAAACGGCAAAACAAAAATTAAAAGCCACTAGTTATTTAGTTTATAGAAAAACTATCTATATAATGCATAAAAAAGGCGTGGCATGTAAACATTGCAAACACAAATACCATTATACACATCCATACGCACATACACACAACGCTTGCTACATGCAGAAGTTCAAAGAAAAAGAAGAACAATTATATAATATAATTTTTATTGATTAATTGTGTAAAAAAAAACTAATTTGAAAATATGTGTGAAAATGGTGTGGTCTGAAAATTTTGGCAATATGTTATATTGTTATACTACTATAATTTATTTAATTTCAATAGTTGCTTCTTTCCAGGAAAATATGTTTGAAAAAAGTAAAATTACTCCATACTCAAGATTTTGAAAAAAAGATTTTAATCAAAGGTATCACATTTAATTTTGTTTTTTTTTTTAACATTTATGTATGCTTGGCAAACCTGCAAACCTGAAATATAATTTTTTTATCAACATATTTTAATGTAAATTTGAAATTGTTTTTTTTTTTTTTTCAAATTTTCATTGCTAAATATTTTCCTTTTATTACTAGCCTTTACTTATACTTTTTTTTACATTTCACTTTTCTAGATATGCTCTGCTAAAATTCTAAAGCAAAAAAAAAGAAAAAAAGTGATTAAATGTTACTGTTGCTTTTGTAACTTTTTTTTTACAAAACAACTTGATTATTTTTTACTTATATCTCTGTAAGATTTATGTTTATGCTGTAAGGCCAATAGTTACTTTATATATGTATGTATGTACATAAATGTATAAATTAAATTACTATTACATGTATGTTGTGTGTACATATGCGACGAAATGTTAGTGTTTAATATTGACGAAAATAATATTTCCGTTGAACTTTGATTTCTTTAGTCTTTATTTTCTATCAACTATAATTATATATCATAATAATTAAAAAGTAAAATATTCAGCATTTGCATAAAAGTTAGATGGAAAAAAAAAAGCAAATGCAAATACAAATAACTAAATATTTTCTTGCATACAATTATTTAAAATTTTACATATTAAATGTTGAAAAAAGCTCTTAAATGTAAAATCTATCTAAGTAATGATAAACAATTTAAATATTATTATTTTTGTAATTTAATTTAAATCGATTTAATTTAGTTAGCAATTTTGTGTGAATTTTCAAGTTTAATTATTATTAATTCAATTACATATATAATTTTGCTTTTTATTTTAAAAATAAATACAAACAAAAACAAAACAAATATGAGAAAGTAAAAAAAAAATGAAAATGATGGTTTTTAATGCTAAAATAAAAAATAAATAAATGAACATATTAAAAAAAAAAAAAACAACATGGTCTTATCTGGAGCGCATTGCGCTACTTTTGGTTCACACCAGCCTATTCCTTCTGGAGTGTCAAGTATACATTTAGATTGTTATTGATTTTTTAATCTTTTATTAAGTAGTTGGATTTTCCACAAAAATACGAGCGGTAGTCTGATTTATTTTTTATTTTCGAGTTAGATGTGATTTTTTTACTTTTATAACCCTTAGGAGAAAGAAATCCTTAAGAGATCGATACGCATTTTCATGTAATTTCATTGGAATCGGAAAAAACCCACTCGTCCCAATTTCTAAGACAACCTGATCTGTTGATTGCACAACAACTGTTGAAACTTCCATGATCTGACACTGCTGCCAACATTAAAATGAGAGATTGGGGAACGCACTCAGCTGCGATGTGAATGAATTTGAGTCATTTTTACTATTGCTGCGACTGCGCTGCGATCTTAATTCATGTTTGTGTCTAAGACCACCCTTCTCATTTTCTTTGTCTAAAATACCTTGAATTGGTTTTCTGGTAATATTGCGTGAGTGACAGTCCTTGGCCGGATAAAAACTCGGGTCGTTCCGGTATAAAGATTCGACTGTCGTGGGAACTATTGTATTTTAGTCGCCTTAGGCATGCCTGGCCACGGGTAAATTCTTATTTTATGTTTATTTATGGTATTGTTAATGTTTTTTATTTATGCCTATTATGATAAACTTCATGTCAAAAATTCGATGAATAACAATGACTATTTTCATGTATTTTTTTTTTAATAGTATTTTCTATAAAAAATAAAGTCAAAACGATATTCATGAAATTTTGGTATAAATGGGTTAAAAATTGTTTGATATCTAAATTAGCGAAGAGCAATTTTTGCCAAAACTATTCTGAAAATAAAATAGCGTTGTATTGGTCGATTACTATAATAATTAAGGATCTAAGCGCCCAGTTTTGGGGTTGTAATTTCTCAGATTAATGAGTAACAAATAATTTTCATATGCAACTTCTCAAGAGATCTGATAATAATAGTTCTGTTCGGTGAGAAATGTCAGTAACAAAATTTATGGTATTTTGATGTCTTTCCGGGCAACATCACCAAACGCGATTTAGTAACAATTGCTACTGCCTATCAACTCACCGAAGAGAACTAGTGTCCATTCTGGGAGTCAAATCGTTTTTTTTCATAAATTTTTCTATAGCTGTTCGTAGCGTTTCTTGCTTGTTTCACATAAAATTGTTTTTCTTTATAATAACTTAAATTTTAATTAATCAAAATAAAATTTTAGGTTCGAATTGCTACGTACATATATATTTCTGTGAATATATGGTGCATTTAAAAAAGTATTTTTGGTGCTATAA